CTACTCTAATCCAAATCACAAGTAATGAGCATGAGATCATTCATAGAAGAATCGGAGCATCTCCTACTAGTGTGTGAGTGAAGTGCAAGATCTACACTAGTCCAAATCACAAGTAATGAGCATGAGATCATCCATGAAAGAGTCGGAGGGTCTCCTACTAGCATGTGAGTGAAAAGCAAGATCTACACTAGTCCAAATCCCAAGTAATGAGCATGAGATCATTCATAGAAGAATCGGAGGGTCTCCTACTAGCATGTGAGTGAAAAGCAAGATCTACACCAGTCCAAATCTCAAGTAATTAGCATGAGATCATTCATAGAAGAATCGGAGCATCTCCTACTAGCAAGTGAGTGAAAGGCAAGATCTACTCTAGTCCAAATCAAAAGTAATAAGCATGAGATCATTCATAGAAGAATAGGAGCATCTCCTACTGGTGTGTGAGTGGAGTGCAAAAGTTACACTAGGCTATATCACAAGATTTGAGCAAAAGATCATCCATGGAAGAATCAGAGGATCTCCTACTAGCATGTGAGTGAAAAACAAGATCGACACTAGTCCAAACCACAAGTAATGAGCATGAGATCAACCATAAAAGAATCGGAGCATCTCCTACTAGCATGTGAGTGAAAAGCAAGACCTACACTAGTCCAGATTACAAGTAATGAGCATGAGATCATTCGTAGAAGAATCGGAACATCTTCTACTAGTGTGTGAGTGAAATGCAAGAGTTACACTAGGCTATATCACAAGATTTGAGCAAGAGATCATCCATGGAAGAATCAGAGCATCTCCTACTAGTATGTGAGTGAGAAGTAAGTTCTACACTAGTCCAAATCACAAGTAATGAACATGAGATCATTCATGGAAGAATCGGAACATCTCCTACTAGTTTGTGAGTGAAGCGCAAGGGTTACACTAGGTTATATTACAAGATTTGAGCAAGAGATCATCCATGGAAGAATTGGAGGATCTCCTACTAGCATGTGAGTGAAAAACAAGATCTACACTAGTCCAAATCACAAGTAATGAACATGAGATCATTCATGGAAGAATCGGAACATCTCCTCCTAGTTTGTGAGTGAAGCGCAAGGGTTACACTAGGTTATATGACAAGATTTTAGCAAGAGATCATCCATGGAAGAATCGGAGGATCTCCTACTAGCATGTGAGTGAAAAAACAAGATCTACACTAGTCCAAACCACAAGTAATGAGCATGAGATCAACCATAAAAGAATCGGAGCACTACCTACTAGTGTGTGAGTGAAAAACAAGAGTTTGAGTAGCCCAATAGGAAGAAGAGGATAAAAAAGAAGAAGAAGAAGAAGAGGAAGAGGAAGAAGAAGAAGAAGAGGAGGAGAGAGAGGAAGAAGGAGAAGAGGAAAAAGATGATGAAGAAGAGGAGGAAGACGTAGAAAAAGAAGAAGAAGAGGAGGACGAAGAAGAAAAGGAAGAAGAGGAAGAAGAAGAAGCATCCTCTTCCTTCCACTCACCTTGTTAATGTCTTGGAGATGGAGTCTCAATCTTAATGAGGCTTTCTCCCCCTTGTATAAAGCACCTTCTTGGTTATGGCCTCCTTCTTCTTCAAGCCTCTCTCCTCCCCTTCTCACTCTCTCCCAAGTGACCACAAGCTCCAACCACCATAGCTATGGAGTCCTCCTCTCTAGGAGGGCTAATGGGACTCCCTCTAGCCTCTCTCTCTTCCTCACACCCAGGGGCTATGGCTGATCACCTCCCTAGGGCCAGCCTCACTACCACTAGTCTCTAGAGCTCCTCTCCCAAGCTCATGGTCTCCACCAAGCTCCTACACTGGCATGGGTTCCCCTCTCCTCTCTCCAAGTGAAAGAGTGCTCCCATGAACTCACTTGGGTAGCATGGGCACTTCTCATGCAATTGTGAAAGTGGCGGACTGAATTCCCAGCTTATGTAGGCTGAAACCAGCAGTCCGGTCGGCCCATGGGCCTCCCCATGTGCCTTTAGGTGAACCGAGGTACCCCCAAGGCAAAATTCTACTACTAGGCCCTGCCGGAGGTACCCGGGTGTCTTTTTGGCCAAATACATGCAGTCCGAGTGGTTGGTACCAACTCGGATTGCCTCTTGGCCTACTTCGGCCTCCTTTTTACCTCACAAATGCTGCCCCTTTGGGTCCTAATGCCCAAGGGGCAGTTTTACTTGAGAGAAAAAGGCCTTGTGGGCCTTTTTCTCTATTTTTTCAGTTTATACCCCATTTTTGGTAGGCCGAGATATTTTTCCATGCAGCTGCACATTTTCAGCCTTGGATCTGGCTGAGATCCAAGATCAATAACATTCCGTGTCACCCCCAAGTAGCCCTTGCTTCAATTTTGACCCCCTAAGTCCAATTTTTCAATTTTTGGTGCATTTGGCTATCTTTTTGGGCCAAATGAACAGTTTTGTCCCTTTCCCTTTTTTGTTTCTTTCCATTTTGGGCTGCCACCTCATTCCTGAGCTAGCCGTTTTGAGCTGGCCCACAAAAAACGGCTAGTTCCTCTCCACCATGAGATCTGATCTCAGATCCATGGTCCAAAAGAAAACCGGTCATTTCTCTTTTGCATTTTCTCTCATTTTCTTCTTTTTAATTCAAATTTTATTGAGATATCTCTGCAATCCGGATTGCCCTCCCTCATTCTAGGAGGGATGAGGTCACAGTTGGGACCTGTCAGTCCCTACTGTGCAGGTCCCAATAGGCCGGCACACTCTCCTCCACACTTTTCTCCCTTGTTGTCTAATTCTCCCTCATTTTTCTCTTATTTTTCTTTCTTTTTCTTTTATTTCAGTTGTGACAAGTGTCAAACTGCTGTGCACTTTCTTTCTAGGCCTTAGGGCCTCATTCAAGGTCAGGTTCATAGCTGGTACTTGACCGTTATATCTCGGATTTCAACAATGGCACCCACATGGTACTAGTGGTGCTAATATTGCCCACCGTCCAGATCCTTGATCTCGACGGTGTCGTTTGCTTGCACAAGTATTCTTTGATCTTGCTCATGGTTCCCTTGGGACATCCCAAGTCCCCGCCACGATACAAGATTAGCTTACCACGTACCTGCGTTAAAGACCTCGCTACGGCGAGAGAGAGAGAGAGAGAGAGAGAGAGAGAGAGGGAGGAGAGAGATGAGTGATACAAGTTTGGTTGTCACTTACCTGTGAAGCGTGCCATGCAGTCCCACAAAGTGAGAGGCGGCCATAGCCGCGGAGCTCGACCACAGAGAACGAAGGAGGTTGAGAGAGAGGACGGAGGAGGAGACTGAGAACGGAAAGAGAAGCCATAGCCGAGGAGGTGAAGGGAGAGACGATAAAAAAAAAAAAAAAAAAAATAGGAAGAAGATAGTCGGGGTGAAGAGAAAGGAGGCGAGGAAGGAGAAAGAAAGGAGAAGGGTGGTGAGGAAGGAGAAGCCGACAACCTTAGCCGACTGGAGGAGTTGACCGGGAGAGTTGACCAGGTGTTGATCAGCGTTGACCGGAGTTGACCGGGGGTTGACCGGGGGTTGACCGAGCGTTGACCGAGCGTTGACCAAGCGTTGACCAAGGTGTTGACCAAGACCGTTGACCACGATTTTGACCAAGTGGGAGCTGGTATATTCTCGCCAAGCCTTCAGCCTATCCCCTCGCCCTATGGATGTGCACACACCCTGTGGTCCTTGCTGAGTCAAGTTTGTCTGTCTCTTCTTTCTGCATCGAGTCTCTTCTGTCCAGGTGTAGGAACTCTGTGGATGAAGGATAAGGCCTCGTTGACCAAACCCCCGTCGAATCATCAAGGTCCCAGTCAGTCCCCATAGAGACGAGGTAGTAGATTACCTCAACGGTCAGGAGGTTGGCACCCAGGTTGGCCACAAGGTCGGCCCTGGGAGGATTTGGGCCTGGACCAGAATGTATGGCAACAGCGGATGGAGCAGGGCCAGTGCATTTATTGTGGTGATCCTGCCCACATCATAAAATATTGTCCCAAGTATAGACAGGCCCGTTGGGCTGCTCAAGAGTCAAAAGGCAGCCGCCGGTAGGGGTCGCAACTGCCCCTACTATTAGGCCATGTGGGGAAGCGAGCGCACGCATAGAGGAAACTCTCACACCACATGAGCCTCCGATAGAGGTTGCAGGCCCGTGCCTAGTTAGCTGTCCAGAGACTGTTTGTGTCAGCGTCTCTCTAGGCACGTCCCTCACAGGCGTGGCAGAGGAATTGAAGGAGAGGGTGCCTGCCTGGGCCAAAATGAAGAAAGACAGTAAAGGACAACTAGTGCTAGTGGATGTAGAAGTGTTTAGAGCAGAGTAGGGGCCCTTATAGATTCAGGGGCCACCCGCAGTTATGTTAGTCGTAAAGCGCTGAGAAAGTTGAGGCTAGGATTGAAAGTCCAAAAGTTAGCAGACCCCATAGTTAGTGTCCTCGCAGACAACCGCATGATGCGAGTTGAGGACTACGTAGAGGGAGTCCAGGCGTACTTCTGCCTAAAGAAAGATGGGAAAGTGGAGAAAGTCCTCCATTCCCTGACTCTCCTCGTACAGGATGACCTTCCATTTGACATAGTCCTAGGCATGGACTGGGGAGAGGCAGTGGGGGCCACACTCCACTTGAGAGAGCATGAGTGTAGGCTCCCTAGTCAGTCAGGCGAGGTTAAGACAGCCCGTTTGTTCCATGTGTCAAGAGTAGACAACTCGTTGGCACATTGCTGTCTCAATGCTCCCGCCTTCACACGATTAGTGAAAAAGGAGCAGTTAAAGGATCAGGTGTTTGTAGTATATGTTAGACCTATCACTGAGCCTAAGGAAGAGGTTAGTTCCACGGATCCAGCCATTGCCAAGCTGCTGAAAGAATTTAAAGACTTGTCTGAGCCGCCGACAGGAGTAGTGCCACGGCCAATGCAGCACAGGATAGAGATAGAGCCTGGCAGTAGAACTCCTAAGGGAGCAGTCTACAGGATGTCCCCTAGAGAGTTAGAGGAGCTGCGTAGCAGTTGGACAAGCTCCTTGAGAAGGGTTGGATTAAGCCCAGTTCGTCTCCTTTTGGAGCGCCTGTTTTGTTTGTCCCCAAGAAGGAAGGAGAGTTGCGCATGTCTATAGACTATAGGGGTCTGAATGCTATCACAGTCAAGAATGTTGAACCACTGCTCGGGATAGACGATCTTTTAGATCGGGTGCAGGGTTGTAAGTATTTCTCCAAGATAGATTTGAAGTCCGGTTACCATAAGATAGAAGTCCATCCTGATGACCAGTACAAGACTGCGTTCCAGACTCGTTATGGGCATTATGAGTTTATAGTGATGACCTTTGGACTGACCAATGCGCCAGCTACATTTCAGCAATGTATGAATGACCTGTTTAGGCCTTGGTTAGATAGATTTGTCTTAGTATATTTAGACGACATTCTAGTATTCAGTAGGACCCTCCAGGAGCACCAGGGTCATTTGAGGCAGGTCTTGGAGAAGCTGAGGGAAGCTAACTTCAAGATCAACGCAATGAAGTGCGAGTGGGCCAAGACACAAGTTTTGTACTTGGGCCACGTATTAGACGGAGATGGAATCAAGCCTGAGGACGGTAAGATAGTGGCAATTAGAGACTGGTCGATGCCCCGCACATTGACAAAGTTGCGGTCGTTTCTGGGCTTAGCTAATTGTTACAGGAAGTTCGTAAGGAACTTCTCTACTATCACCGCTCCCTTGCGTAGGTTGCTTAAGAAAGAGGCAATCTGGCAATGGGATAAAGACTGTACGTCTGCGCTAAATAAATTAAAGCGCGCATTGATAGAGTATCCTGTCCTCAAGGTAGCAGATCCGTCTTTGCCATTTGTCGTCACCACGGACGAGAGTCAGTATGGAATAGGCTCCGTGTTGCAGCAAGACGACGACAATGGCTACAAACCCGTAGAGTTCATGTCAGCGAGGATGCCCTCAGAGAAGGTTGCTACCTCGACGTACGAAAGAGAACTCTACGCTCTCAGGCAGGCTTTAGAGCACTGAAAGCATTACCTGCTTGGGAGGCACTTGAAAGTGTATTCAGACCACGAGACGCTTAGATGGTTAAAGACACAGGCCAAAATGACACCTAAGTTGACTAGGTGGGCCGCCGAGGTAGACCAGTATGACTTTGAGCTCAAGCCAGTGAAGGGCAAGTACAATGTAGTTGCGGATGCTTCGAGTAGGAGATCAGACTACTTTGGAGCCATAGTTCTCTATCTAGACATAGGGAGTGACCTGCAGGAAAAAGTTGAACAAGCGTATGCACAGGACCCTATTTATAGTGACCTCCTCAAGAGAGTTAAGGAGACCCCAGAGACTGAGCCAAATTACCGCACTACAGAGGGTTTGTTATTCGAGAAGACTAATGTAGTAGACCGCCTTTGCATTCCCAACAGTGAGGAGATCTGAAGTTTGATCTTAGGGGAATGCCATGATACAGAGGGACATTTCGGGTGGCAAAAGACTTTAGCCAATCTGATGCACGCGTACACATGGCCAGGAATGAAGAGCGACTGCATAAAGTATGTCCGTGGTTGTAAAGTCTGTTAGAGAAACAAGACTACTACGCGTGCCCCTCTAGGACTTCTGAGACCCTTGCCCATTCCAGACCAGCCTGGAGATTCAATCTCCATTGACTTCATGGATGCTGGTGTCAAGAGTAGGCACGGCAAGAGCCAAGTCATGGTCGTAGTTGATAGATTTAGCAAGTATGCCATTTTTGTTCCTTTGCCTGCAGAGGCACACACAGAGCTAGTGATACAAAAGTTCTTTGATTTTTGGGTTAGTGAGCATGGAGTTCCGTTGTCTATTGTTAGCGATAGAGATACCCGCTTCACCAGACAGAACTGACAAGAATTGATGAAAGTCTATAGATCCAAGTTGCTGATGTCGTCTGGCTGCCATCCAGAGACTAACGGTCGGACCGAGCAGATGAACAAGATCCTGCAGCAAGTTATGCGCATGTACATTAGACCCGATCAGATCAACCGGGATGAGATGTTACCTAAGGTAGCCAGTGCATACAATAACAGTGGGCATTTGTCCACCTGTCGCACTCCCAACGAATTGCACAAGTCCTTTAGACCACATAGGTCGTTTGAGGGGCTTAACCGGGATCAGATTCACAGGCTACCGCCCGGTACCAGGGAGTTCGCGATACAACACGAGAAAGAGATAGCCACTGTTGTTGAGGACCTCAGGAAGGCCCAGCACCGGATGATAGAACAGGCTAATAAGCACCGTCGCCCATCGCAGTTTTAGGTAGGCGACCTGGTCTGGGTCACAGAAGTTACTGCCCGCGTATAGAGGACCGTGGCCAGTTCTAGAGGTTAAGGGCGGAGAGGATGGTCCGTCCTATACTGTAGAGATCCCAGCACACCTCCACACCTACCTCGTATTTCACGCATCAAAGTTGTTGTCGTGTGTCACAAGTCAACAGTTTCCATCTAGACGGTCCATGATCCCTCCAGACATGGACGGAAGGTATGACATTGACGACATTGTAGGTGAAGATGTGTTTAGAACAGGAGGTAGAGGTCGTCCACAGAAACAGTATAAGGTCCGGTTCGCCTATCAGGAGCCGGAGGATGACCGCTGGTTCACGAGATGCAAACTTCTAGAAACAGCTCCCGATATAGTTAGAGCCTACGAGAGAGATCAAAGAGGTAAAGGTCCTGCCTTGGACTGAGTTATTCTCGGAGGACCTCGAATTTAGGCCGGCGGGAGTGAAACGGTATTCACCAGTCGCAGTAGCTGATGCAGACCCAGGGCTCGATCCCTAGTCCCCACATTACCTGTGTACAGTATTTGTGTCGACCCCTAGAGTTGAACCCGTGACGTGTGTATAAGTAACAGTTGGTAGGTCGTCGTAGGGTCCAGCGGTCACAGGGGTTCGAGCTGTAGACCTGTCAAGTAGGAGTCTTAGTCAGGTCCACAAGTCGTAGCTGTAGCCTTCTCGAAGAGTAAAACTCGTAGCTGCTACAGTCCAGAAAGGTCAAGGTCGTAGCTGCTACAGTACCGAAAGGCCAAGTCTACGGCCTTCCGGAAGGTCCGAGTAGTGGCCTTTCAGAGTGCCCACGTTTAGGCTGCGGCAAGTGGGCAAGTGGTGAGGCAAGTGGTGGAGTCTACCTGTTGCATACTGTAACAGTGCAGACCAGAACAAGAACCGACCTCTCAATACAAGTACAAGATAGCGTAGCGGAAGACTTAGATACCAATGATCCGAACAATCAATATTGCAATGCARCCCTGAACATACATCATCATCATCGTTCCATGGTGTGAAAGGGGTCTGGCGCTTCACACAGGAAGACTGCGCCAGCCCCAACCATACACAAACGAAGAAGAAGGGGGTTAGACGAAGAGGAGGGGAAGATGGGAATGGTGCAACACCAAGTCTTCGGCACAGGCCCAAATAGTCCCTCGTCGAAATGTCTGAATCCCAAATGTCGAGTCTGGATCCAATGTCGTCAAGTCCCAAG